AAAAACTAACATGAATTTCTTCTGTTCTCCAAAAAGTTACTGATTACTTGTTGGATGGCTAGATGAACGCCGCTTCAGTTCCCAAGCCTCTCCTCAGGGGCACCTCAGCCGTTCCATGTATCGTTAAATTTCACCACCAACTCTTATTAGTAAAATGACCCAACAAGGTATTCATTGCCTAAACAGTATGTCAGTCAAAAATCCATGGGATACCATATATTGGATGATTACTGCAAATACTGGGGTGACTTTAGAAGAGGTTTTGAAATGGCTAAGCTGACCCACTTTGACAGGTGTTATGTCAGTTTTACGCCAACATGAAGATCATTTAAGAATCACCTTCTTTGACTGCCTAAGACTGCTTTTCTTCTGGCTCACTCTGTTGTCGTAGATGTTGGTCTGACAGACCTTGGCCTGTTAAACTTCCTTTATATCTGATTGATTTACTGTCACACTTCCGTGTGACCTCCCCCTACAGAGAGGCTGATGCAATAAACACCATGATCATTGGTAATCGGGTAGCACGATTCTTCTGAAAATTATTATTGTTGGAGGAAGCTGACCCCTGTTGCCATGGTGAGCAAATTCCCCAGCACATCATAGCGAGAGCGAGGGTGGGGATGGCTCAGCACTGCAGGTGCTGAGGAAGGAGCTGCTTGGGGTGTCATCAGGGTGAAACAGGAGAAATGTTTGTATGGTATGTGTAGTGATTGTTTTATGTATTGGTCACTATGTATGTATGTATGTATGTATATATGTGTGTGTGTGTGTGTGTGTGTGTGTGTGTGTGTGCTATACATATATTTCATTGTGTGGACCAAATGTCCCAGGAATGTGATTAAAAACCTGTTATTTTGACCTTGTGGGGAGCATTTTTTTTTTGCCCACAAGGGGAAACTCAATTTTATAAAAATCTGTGACTACAATTATATCAAAAAGTATAAATCAAAAGTCTTATGGCTAAGGTTAGAGTTATGTAGGGGTCAAGGTTGTCATTCATGTGGGTATTTCCCATAGAAATGAATGGACAGTCCCCACAAAGATATGAATACAAACGTCTGTGTGTGAATGTGTTCCACCTGTTCTGCCTGTAAACACTGTTCGATACGTTTTGTAATGGCTAAATCAGAGTGTGTCCTGTTTGGTGTCATTTTGACATTCCGGCCTGCAGCAGTATGGCAGATGTATCCATCTTCTGATTTTTAATTTTGTTTTATTTTTATGCTGTGATAAACCACGCAGTATTCTCCTACAATGGAATGTCTGAAATCATAGGTAACACCAGTTTGTTTTTCATTATTTCATTCTCTTCTTACTGGTTGTCTGCTGTTCGTCGTCTCTTGTGTGAGTTCCAGTCTAGGCTGTATGTGGGGAAACATGTACCAGGTCAGACATCGGATAAATAAACATGGTGTCCTGGACCCTTTTTCGGATTCGCTCTGCAGTTCCCGCATGGGCAGGCACGCCTGATTATCACACAGCGATTTCCTATAAGTCAGCTGTTTTTTTTTTTTAAAACATGAATCATGCCACAACAGCTATTTTTCCGATATTGTGTCAAGGTGGATCTGTGGAGAACCCGTGTTCCCCCACCCTGTAACCTGCCAGGGAGTTTTGGTATGACTCGGGTGAGGGATGGGCCTTCTTAGCCCGGTCCTAAGAGTGACAGTGGGAAAAACGCGGCTCTCTCACCCGCTCACTGCTTCTTCCTGTGTATACGTGCCCATGCAGTAGCATCAAGATTAAGATATCCTCTTCCCCAGAGGATGCCCTTCCTTGCTTCTGCTCCCTTACCTCCACCCTCTCCATCTCCTACCCGTCCTTGTTATCATGCACCCATCGTCGCCTCTCTGTCCTCCCCAGTCCTGGTCTTGTCTCTTTGGACTTGTTTTCACCCCTCTGGGGATGCAGTGGCCTGACAAACAGGCGTTCCCAGAGGCCACTGCTTGTCCCAGCTTCGGCTGTTTTTGGAGACGCCTAGGCTACGCCTTCGGAGAGCTTCCCAGGACCTGAAAGGCCAGGGAACCATCTCCGTTTCTGCCTTCACACCTCGCTTCACTGCAGGTTAACAGATGCCAACCATATTGACTCGGCAGCTTTCTTTTGCTGTAGCAGTGTTTCTGAATCCGGTCCTCGGCGACCCGCAGACGGTCCACGTTATCGCTCCCTCCCAGCTCCTGGTGGAGCAAATATATGGACTGTCAGGCAAGGAGCTGTGAGGGAGCGAAAACATGGACTGTCTGTGGGTCCGTGAGAACTAGATTGGGAAACACTGTTACAAGGTTTAAGAATACTGTAGATGATTGTAGGGATGTTATAGCTACAGTTATTTCTGCTTTACTGTATATGTCTGTGTTTTTCCCAGGTGTTACATTATTGAATTAAAATAGTGTCCAGTTGTAATACTCAGATTTGGAATGGACATTGACATCCTGCAGGGACGAGTGGTGGTTGCGGCACTGAATCATGCCCTGTCTCTCTGTCTGGGACATGCAGTTGGAGCAACTGGACCAGTATATGCGGATGGATGGATGGATGGATGGATGGATGGATGTGAGCTGCTTCTGTTGCAACTGCTACAGTATAGAAAGTGCAGTAGTCAAGTGGTTCCGATGAAGAGCTTGTTCTGCTTTTTATTATGCACTGCTGTCTGCCACAGGCTTTACTAAAACATGACTCTACAGGCTCTTGGGCCTGCCAGCCAGGGGTCTCTGGAAGAGCCCAGCTGCCGGGTGCAGTCGATAGGGCTGCAGCAGTAGGGATGCTCGGGTTAAAGTATGTTTGATGGACTGTAAAGTATAAAAACCCTGTCATCATCCCGCTGGAATGTCAGCACGTTTGGCTGCCAAGTCCTGATTGGAATAGTTAAGTCTGGTCCAGCAGCAACCTCTGTGGTCTTCTCCAGCCCCTACTTTCTCTTTCTCCTGCCTGTACGTCTCTCTCATCCTCTTGCTCATTCTACAGAGTTGCATCCATCCAGGGGAGCATTCAAAGCCAGCAACTATACCTGTGTGTCTATCCGCACCGATATAATTTTCATCAGCTTCTTCTACGTGGGTTTGGCTAGCAGATGGTGCGGTCTGTAACCCTTCTCCTCACCACTTTGGTGTAATGCATGAAAGTGCTGCTGGTGGTGTCTCCCAGCAGATGCCCGTACCATCTCCACACCCTCATATCTGCGGTCTGCCCATACCGTGCCATTGCTGCCGGCTTTTTGAGGACTGTCACCCTGGAAACGTTTGTGTTGATTCCAGGTCATTGTAGCTGCAATATGTTCTTGACTATGTTAATTACCCCAAAAGGCTTGAGTTCAGGGTGGTTCCGGAACTGTAAGGGAGTATTTATTTCAGTGGCCGGTCAGGCTGCGACAGGGCATAGTCTAATACTGTGTTTTGCGGGTCTTCTTACATATGGTGCTGTTGGTTTGAGAAATGTAAATGTATATTTCTGCACTCCATAGATAGTTGAGGGAATACTGCTTTCCTTCAATATCCTTGGCTGCCCTTTTTAAAATTTGTTTTAAATAGTTTAAAGAATGTAATGTATTATTATTATTTATTGTTTATTTGTGTTAAACAAAACATCTGGTTAAGAAACATTTGTCGTGGTATGGTAATTTAATAAAAGGTTTTTTTTTTCAAAATGTAGGTCTGAATGTTTCCCAGGTGAATAAAAATATGTTTAAACAATCCGTTAATGTAAATATGAACACAGATTTGTTTGGGTTTGTTTAGATTTAAATCAGATGAGACACAATCTTCCACTGTTTGGTGTGTAAATTTGCTGAGCTAACAACTAACGAATGGTAATTGTTTGCCTATTATATGAAAACTAACACAGTTATGAAGTTGGAAATTGGTCACCCAAAATGTTTTGTGGAAATAAACAATGTGTGAATGGGAGAATACATTATATATGTGCACACTGTGTTACTTGATTTTGTTTATTATGATGGATAATAGGGTAAAAACTTGTGCTTTGGTTGAGTAGTCTAGTGCTGAAAACCATGCTGTCTCCAGTATAGTGTAGTGTAGAATGCAGAATCACACTAGTATGTGGCTGAGTGTAGTCTAGTATAGAATACATTAATTGTGTGAGGGAGGTATAGTATAGAAAACTCATTATGTAGGGGTTTAGTGTAATATAAATGTAGACTGGTATGTGGGTGAGTGTAGTATAGCGATCACTAATGTGGGTGGAAGGTGTAATATAGAGTACACACTAGCCCATGGGGGTGTAGTATAGAATTAGGACTAGTGTGTGGGTGAGTGTAGAAGTACTGATTTATTTAAATGACTTTAGTATATAGGGTTTGCCATGTGACACTGAGCTATGCATAAGTGAATATGTCTTGGCATGTTTGCTTAGTCTGAGGGTGGGTGTAGGTCTCTAAGGGTCTGAAAGTGAGAATGAGGGCAGTGCTCATATATGTGGTGGGGGCAGGGGGGACACAAGGGGGTGGATGTGGTTTTGTGAAAGCTGCAGTTATCTGTCTGTCTTACGGTGTGGGATGACTCAGCGCGGCTTCCCGTATCAGCACTCACCTGGTATCAACGGGAACTGATGTCACGGCACAGCACACACACACACACCGGCGGCCATCGTGACACACATCCTCAGGCGGTGCCACAAAGCCCATGTGGTGAGCGACACACCACACTGAGCCACGTGACTGCTGACGCGAGTCAGATACAACCGTAACGGTGCGGATGGTGGAGCTCAAGAAGGGAGAACTTTCAGGAATGCAGTACGTGACCTAAAAACAAGGATTAAAATGTTTTAAAGTAACTAAGAAATCTCGAAGTGGAAGCACATTTTGATTGTACGCACCTTCTCTATATGGGTTCTGTATAACTAGGAAAGAGAGTCAGTGCGAATGCTGATCTGTCACCAAGGGGATGCATTGCAGGAATCCTTCATTAGGAAAGATCCCCATCATGTTTCTTGTGGCTTGTGCATGGACTTGTGTTTTGAACCCATTCTGTCATCTTCCCTTACAGATGAGAAGAAAAAGTACCAGGTCGTGATTCACGGGATTGAACCGATGCTGGAGACGCCTATCCAGTGGCTTAGTGAACACCTGAGTCACCCAGACAACTTTCTCCACATCAGCATCATCCCAGCGCAGTGCGACTGAGAGCCCCGTTTGCTGAGACACGAGAGACATTTTTCTTTCATTGGTGTCTGAAACTGGAAACTAGAAACGGGCTAAATGTAACCAGTATGGCCAAGTATGTTTCCAGATCCAGAAGGAGATCTTCCAGCTTCCCCTGTCTCTCCCCATCCATCGTAAACCTGTAGCTCCCTCTTTTGTGTTTAGTTCTTAATAAGTCCATTTCTCTGCTTTCCTTTGTCACTACTCCCCCCTTTTCTGTTCCCCCCCCACCCATGGAATTGTTCTGGAGTAACCTGAAAAGAACAGCCTGAAGGCCAAACAGGAAGTACGGGATCCCGTAAGCTGACAGAGATAAGAGGGGGTGTCTCCTGTCTAGCTACCGCCTCCTGCCGTGGTTCCCACAGGCTTCCTCATCCTCTCCGTTTTCCAGCTTTCTTAGGAACCCCCCCCCCCCACCACCACCACCCACGTGAATGAGTTTGGAATCCTCTGGGGCTGACAGTCAGATACATGCATGGGGGATTTTCTTTTTGCAGAGTAAAGTCTTGCTGGTGTGACTCCTTCAAACGCCTTAGTCTCCAGAGTTAGACAGTTTGCGGAATGGTTTCATTTTTTTTTTATTTTATATATTTCACTTTTTTCGCCCTTTTAATGTCACTGAAAATTCACGTAAGGGATGTTTTTGTTTCCCTTTTTTTGTACATAATTTACTGCCGATCATCTTAGATCTTTTCTCAGCTAATTATCGGAAGGCATTCTGAGCTTGGTTAATTAGACCGCTAAACTACTCCTTCCTCTTTTTTTGGCTCTGTGTAATGCATGTGTGGGGGGGTATAATTATTTTAATGGTCCACAGTTTTGACATTATTTATGGGCAGGTTGTGAAAGTTGGAGGGGGGGGGGGGAGCATTGTGTAGGTGTGAAAAGCAACAACGGAATTCATCTGGCTCTGTCTGGCTTAGCAACTCTCATTTCAAACCCCACAATTACGTTGGATTCAGGTTTTTGAAGGCACAAAAGGCAGGCTGGACGGTTACAGAGCTTCTCGTGCCACGATCTGACGAGCAGACTTTTCAAAAAGAAAAGAAAGTGTCAGTTTTATATGCAAGCAGACGTCGACAGCATATTTCTTCTTTATTGTGACGGAGGGGAGGCCCTCTCTCCCATGGAGGCTCGTTGGGCCGTCTCCGAGACGATGAGGACATTTTGCGGTGACGAACAAGGACAGATGAAAACAGCATTGGCCACACTGGGGCTCTGACAAACTTTTCGTCATTCTTTGGAGTGTCCCCCCCCCCCCCCACATCTCTCTGTTGATCCCACATTATGGCCTGGCTACACTCTTAATCTTTTACAGAAGATAATCATTTAAATAGTCAAAAATCTGGTTAATTACTCACGGCAGAACAACTGCAACGCTAAATGAAAACATTATGAATAGAGATTATCGGCCTGTGTTTCACGATTTTTCAGTCATTCTGTCTGCGTTTGAGGTAAAATGATTGTAAATTTCATAAGATTGTCACAACGCATTCACTCATTTGCGTCCGTCAAAAATGTCTAAAAGTTTAATGTAAGCGATATCCTGGTCACAAACTGTGTTCTAGGAGTCAGACCATTGACGCAAGTTCAGACCCTTCAAGATCATAGCCAAACCTCTCCATCTTCCAGCTGTTGGATGAGCTTGGGAGGTTTTGTGGCCATTAGCTCGTGGTGTTTGTGTTTGTGGATGAGGGACCGCAGGAGACCAACACAGGCAGATGCCACGCAGCTTCACGCCGCAGCTGAGAATCGTTACTTATTTCTTGGAGAGTGTGACTGTGACTTCCCGCCACCATGTCTGTAAAACGCGACAGGAGTGGGGCGAGTCCCGGCTCCTTCCGCAGGTCTGCTTTTGGCTGCTCTCATCACGTTCACCAGATGACTTTGCTCCAGTGCTTGTTGACAAACAGATTTAATCTTGCACTTCCTGCTGGGAGAAGGCCCGTAGTTGACAAGCCCTATTGAAGGGGGAACAAATAGAAAACATGGTTTAGCAGTCGTTTTCCCAGCATCCCCCCCCCCCCAGATGGTTTGGAATCATCTGTTCCCTATTTCAGCCTTGGAATGTTCTGTTCCAGAAGTCACATGACCTGTGTGACAGTGACACCAGTGGAGACTGTCACCTGAATTTAATACTGCATTAATGCCACAAAAGGGCAAATGGGCAACCACCAGCCCTGTTCTCTGGCCCTTTTGTTCTGTGCATATTTGTAACAACCTTAAATGTGCATTTTATCGGTGTCTTCAGATATCTTTCTGCAGTGGCTGTTCTTTACTGGTGCTTGACAGTCTTTTGCATTGACATTAAAATAAAATGAAAATGTTTTGTAGTTTTGCCTTTGTGCTTTTTTTTTTTTTTTTAAAAAAAAAACAAACATTTATTTAATTCACATATGCTGTGCTTTTGTTAGACGAATGAGCGACGGATCCTGAAATTCAACCCCTGTCCCGTAACTGGTGGCCTCCACCTTGAGATAGTTTCTGTGGCTTCAGGAGACTCTCAGCCTCACGACATGAGGAAACGGAGGCGAGGCGGCTACAGAGACGAGGCAGCCGCAGAAGCAGCATCTGCCCCAGTCTGGGAGAGTGGACATCAAAGCCAAGGCGGTACTCTCTACAACTTAATTAAGTAAAGACCCCCACTTACAGAGGCCTCATCCCAGGCTCACCAGTAAATCTGTCACATGAAAGATCAAGCCCCTATCCCTTTTATGTCCCCTCACTTGTTATCTGCTGGGAATTTAATTTCAAATTTTTTTTTTTGTCCTGTGTATAACCCTCTGTGACCAGGATGATGAGAGACCAGGCTTTGCAGGTAAGTCATTTAGAACGCGGAGCCGTGGGCGCTCGGTCAATCCTGACGTAAGACCCCGACATGTGCGGACTATCAGGGCGTCCGTTCAGTCTGCTGTGCCACAAATATTATAGCCGAACGATTAGAAAATAGATGATTAGATCCCATGATTAGAAAAAGACTAAATTCCCTGCCGCTTCTCTGTAGATCTGTCCTTGTGTTTTTATGTCGCTGTTTGTATACTGTTCCCAGCAGCGTTGCTTGATTGGAACATGGAAGCCTGTAGCTAGAACTCTGGCTGGTTTATGAAGGAAAAACGACCTTTTCCCCCGACCGTGACGCCCTTCCCACAGCCCGCCTATGTGGCACACACCTGGAACTGAAGAATGGTGTCGTTGGAAGAATAAAACTCTCCCTTCTCTTTCATTTCACTTGAGCCCCCTCCCCTCCCTTATACAGATGCACACACAAAACTTCCTTTTGCCAGAGGACAACAAACCTCTCATTAGAACAGACTGCTAATTGCCAGGTGCTTGAGCCTGTGTAGTGCTGTGATCACAGAAGAGGCACCCCCATAATCTTTAAGAAATATTGTGCAGAATTAGTCTTCACGTACACATGGACGTGTTCATATTTTACTAGTGTGATATCTTGTGGTTGGCCTGTAAAGATTCATTCATAATGCTTTCAGCTGTTAATTGTTACGCTGTGTAGGATGACTAACGATGTGTTGTCAGTGGTTAAAATTAATTTGATACAGGTGTGAGACTTAGAGGCTGCTCTTTATGTGTTGATGTAGTATAATATTTAATAAACTTTAATAATTTTATTGAGTGGGGGGACACGTGCCTATTTAGGAGTAACAGAGACTGTCATTGTGGTCTGGCTTCTGTTTGAGCAGTGGTGGTGATTAGATAGGGCATGAAGTGAAGGTAAATGTACTGTCTCAGTCACTGAATATCCCAAACATTTTTCATTGGCTATAGAATGCTGCTTAGACCATCTGATAGCCAAGAAAGAGAATTTGGATGCATAGCCTAAAGCCTTTGGCAGACTGGAGAACATATTGGACAAGCAAATGCAACAATGAAATGCAGACACTTTCAGTTGTCTGCTTTGTTGCTGCTGTTGGAGGGCCTGTATCACAAAGCTGGATTTCTTGCTTAGCTGAATAACGTGTCGGATTTAAGGTATCCTAGTTTAAATGGACTTTACTTTCATTCACATATATAGCCCAGATTATGTTAAATGCAAGAAATCCTGCTTTGTGATACAGGCCTGGGATTCATTGTTGTTGTTGGACTGATCTTGCAGCGTCCTCCAGAAGGCTCAAAGGAGGTTCAAGGAGGTTGTCTGATGTCTGATATGACAGTTCTATTGTCCTGGACATGAATAATTAAAAAAAAGTCTCAAAATGGAGGCGCAAGATTCCAAAACTCACTTAGGCGTTTTTTTTTTTTGTTTGTTTTTGAAATGAAAACATCAGTGACCTAAAGTTGCGCTTCTTCATCATATGTTACGGTACTGGGAACCAAAACCCACTCATGGAATCAAACCAAGAACTTTCATTAAATTATGTGAAATCACTAAGTCCACAGAAATGTTTCCTGTGGACTGAGTTTTGGAAATTTGTTCTTCGGTTAGCATGTTACATAGCACTGGTGGCAAGCACACAGTTTATGGGGTTAATCTGACAGGAAGCTGTCCAATGTGCAGAATGGTGCATCAGCAGTCGTAACTTTTCACGGTTTCACATTACTTTTGGGGCTCTCGCTACCGGGATGATAGTTGCCGTTTAATGCAACTGGAAAAAAAAAATCCAGATAGTTTCCTGAAATGCAACCATCGGTCAGGAACCAATTGACCAGCAGGGTTACCGGTCTTACAGGATTTACAGGGAATTTCAGTATGACAGTATTTACAAAAACTTGAAACAAGCTTAAAAATATCTATAAATAACAGCTGGAAACCACCTTTCCTGATTCCTTGAAATACTGTGTGGTGGGACCTCTGCTAAACAGGTAACCACAAGGTGAAAAACGTTTCAGGTTTTTTGTCCACGCTGCCCTTGTAGACCACACATTACTGATCACCACCCTCCTCTTTAAAGACCTCACAAAAAAAAAGTTCGGGTCTGATTTCTGAGAGTGGGCGTATTTCAGTAAAGTCTCTGGTTTGTTCGAAACCACTGAAAGGTTTTTGTACTATTCTTCGCAATAACCTTTATATTTCTCAGCTTATCAATTTTCATTATTATTGTCAGCAGTTTTCTCACTCATTTTAAATATATAACTTGCCCCATTAGATTCTCATAGCCTCGCTTCATAATGTAGGTAGGCCTTCGTTTTTCAGGCCTATTTGGTCTTACGAGGTAACATGACGAATTGCCTAATATTTAATGCCTGGAGGAGGCATCTTAGTGCGTGGGACACCTCCCCCAAATGCTCACTTCAATTATGTTCTATATTCTTAGGGTCAGAAAAACAACAGAAATGTACATCCAGAAACAGCACTTAAAATGGAGTAACCCCTGTGGTTTATAAACATTCTTTTTTTTATTTGTTTCGGAGAAATAGTCTCATTTTTATGCAAGTTCTAAGCATACAAAAACAACTTGGAAACAGAATCCGTCCAAGCAAAATTGTCCATAACCAGAATGGGTGAATGTAAGGATATTTAAATTGAAGTAAAATGCATTAATTTGAGCATCCATCCACCTTCCAACCAGTTATCCTGAGCTGCTCAAATAGTGAAACTATTGACTAATTATGTTTCGCTGTTGTAGCAATGGTAGCCCAGATCCCATACCCTGTTCTATGTATTTAAAGTTTGCACATTCTCCCAAAGTCAGTTTTTTTTTCCAGAAGCTTCTATTTTATTATACAATCTAAGAATATGCGGTTTCAGTGCATTGGTGACCTGAAATCCCTGGGCTGTTGTACTTCCTGGAATAGGCTCATTGTGACCACGCACAGGAGATCCGCTATGGCATAACTATGTTGGTTGGCACCCAGTCTGGGCTTATTCCATACCTTACACTCGTAGCTTCCGGGATAGGTTCCAGACCCCACAACTCTGCATAGGGCCAGTGGGTATAGAAGATGAATAGATGGAATATTTTGATTGATTAACTTGCTATCTCAGACAGAATGCATTATGTTACGGGTTGGTAGAACTAACAGGCATCTCATTCAGCACCCCTCCTCCCCCCCGCCATATACTACAGAGTTGGTTAGAAGGGTGGGTGAATGTAACCAAACTGCTTTTAAATGTTTTATATTTCATTAGAACAAATATTTTGCAGCTGTCTATGGAAAAGCCTTAACCTCAGAAAATATCCTTTAAGAATCCAATGGGATCTTAGTCTGTCAGGATCATCGTCCATGTTACAGGGCCGGACACCTACATACTTCAGTTTTTGTCTGATAGGTTTGAAGTTGCACATTCATTCAATTCAATTCAAACTGAATTCCTGCTATAGATATTTGGCAACGAATATGAAAATACACATTCAATAAATAATAAATGTTTTGTATCAGCTAACTATTGTGGTCTATTATTATTAATAATAATAATATATTTTTTTTTCCAAGCACTTATAAATGAAGTTTCCCAGGCATTTACATATGAGCATGATAGTATTTGGCAGCTGAGGACCGTAGATAACTTACCAGAACTGTTTTATTATTTTTTTTTTTAGATATGATGTCAGAGATGGCATATCAGCACAAAATGCAGTGTATTTATACCTATAATGACTCTAACTGATAAACGAATGCAAATTTGAATCACTACTCAGTAATCGTAGATCACTGTAGTGTGGTAGGTCTGCTCGTGTGGTTATGAATTACCTTTTACTAATGTCACTTTAAAATATCATGAACCTTCGATAAAGATACAGCAGGATCCCTTTTGAAAATACTCATATCTGGAGAAACAAACTGAATAATACACATTCCATCTAATTAAAATGATTGCCTTTAACATACCAGTGCAGTATCACAAATGTCGGGGAATTTCCTGAAGAAACTCAATGAACTCAGCAGTTTACTATTTATAAGTAAACATGGGGTGTGATTAACACCAGTTTATCAAAGGGCCACAAAACAGAAAGATGATCAGGCATGATCTTGTTTCCTTATTACAAGGGGAAAAAATATTGCAATGAACATGCAACAGGGGTGTCACAGAAAATGAGAACTTCAATGGACCCTGTATGGCAACTGAGATGTATGGGAACATTGTCTCGCTTGATTTCAGTTGTATTGGGTTCCTGTTTAAGTTTGGCATGGGCTCTGGCCACACACACACACACACACGCACGCACACACACACACATATATATATATATATATATGTATGTATATATATATATATATATGTATGTATATATATATATATATATGTATGTATATATATATATATATATATATGTATATATAAAAGGTTGTGTGGAGCCCGCCATTGTCTCCTTTTGCCCAATCCGCAGGTACCCCAAATTATCTGTAAAATCCCCAGAGATTGGCTAAAAGGGGT